CTTTTTCGCCTTTAGAACACAATTAGTTCTAAAGATTCTAGCAGTTTCAAGTAAATCGACCAAAAGCTTGACATTTTGCGGTTCAGTAGAAATCAGTATAAAAATGGAAGTTTTTACCAAAGTGCAACCTCTCACTTAAAAATGCTTATTTTCCAGACTAAGCCAAGTAGGAAGTTGAAATTTTCAGAATCCTTAGCCGATGTTTGGCTCTAAAGATGCTGAAAATTGGATAAAAATCTCTGGGAATGTTGATTTTTTGCAGCCTATTAAATATCAGTCTCACAATTGAGTTCTCAACCAATTGCTCCCTCTGGTTCAAAAGTGCGTATCTTCAAAGCAAGAGCCGGTAGCAAGTTGAAGTTTTCACCATCCTTAGACGACACTCATTCCTAAAGATCCGGAAAATTTCAGTAAAAATCCTCAGGTAGCTTCATTTTTTTATAAAAATTTTCTAAAAATTTGTATCTTCAAAAGTCATGCAACTAGCAATTTAAAATTTTCAGCGTCCGAAGACGAGACTTGCACCAAACGATAGTGGGAGTGCCATCAGAAAAGCAGATAAGCCTAATCTTTACTAGCTGGGTAAATATTGGTCCCATATGCGCGCTCCCAATTACGGCGCTTTAGCTCAAAAAAATCGCAATTTCCCCACTAAAACACCGAGGCATTTGAAATTTTTACCACACTTGGATGCCACTTCACTCTAAAATTGTGGAAAGTTTGAAAAAATTTGCTCACAATCCTAATTTTTGCCAGCTTAATTTCGTTGAATGTTGCAACTCACCTGGCGGTTGGAATTAACGAACAAAAACAACGCAAATAAACCCAGAACAGGGGCGGATCCAGCTTTAAAGTCAGGGGGGGTTATGTAGAAAAAATACTGTTTTCTGTTATCTATGAAATTAGAAAAATTATCGTCGTTTTGTGCAAGAGCGGCGCAAGATTATGCCAAAATTTCATGTTTTCCGTCCCATTTTTGCTCATTTCTCAGAGGCAAAATGAGCAAAAATGGGACGGAACACATGAAATTTTGGCTCCAGAGAACTCCATTGTGAGACTGATATTTAATAGGCTGCAAAAAATCAACATTCCCCGAGATTTTTATCCAATTTTCAGCATCTTTAGAGCCAAACATCGGCTAAGGATGCTGAAAATTTCAACTTCCTACTTGGCTTAGTCTGGAAAATAAACATTTTTAAGTGAGAGGTGTACACTTTGGTGAAAACTTCCATTTTTAGATTTCTACTGAACCGCAAAATGTCAAGCTTTTGGTCGATTTACTTGAAACTGCTAGAATCTTTAGAACTAATTGTGTTCTAAAGGCGAAAAAGT